CTGGATCAGGTGCACCTTAGTCTTTAGACTGACATCATTGCTTCTCAGCACTCTGGAGAGTTCCTTGACAGTAGATTTTCCAAGTGCAATTCATCTTTTCATTTACTGACTGCTGGTGACAAAGAGATTGTGGAGCTGAGCAAACTGTAATTCTTAACAACTTCAATCTCTTCTCCATCTATCATGATGCTGCCTCTTGGCCCAGTGGCTACAATCTTTGTTTTCTTAATGCTGAGCTTCAATCAGTATTGAAGACCACAGTCCTTGACCTTCTGCAGCATGCACATCAGGTCTTCTTCAGTTTCAGCAAGCAAGGTTGTGTCATCTGCATAATGTAGGTTGTGATGTGACATTCCTCCTAATAAAGCACAGCCTCGCAAAAGATCTGTTCTGCATATAGATTGAAAAGGTATGGAGACAGGATGCATCCCTGACGCTCCTTCCTGATTTTGAACAATGCAGTGTTTCCTTATTCTCTTTTGAGGACTGCTTCCTTGTCTGAGTATAGGTTTCAAATAAGCACAATCAAGTGTTCTGAGATTCCCATTTTCCTCAAGGTTAGCCACAATTTATTTTGATACACACAGTCAAATGCCTTTACATAGTCAATGAAACACAGATGAACATCTTCTGATGCTCTGCTTTCTGCCAAGATCCACCTGACATTGGTGATAATGTCTCTAGTGCCACAACCCCTTCTATTTCCAGCTTTTATTTCTAGTAGTTCTCTGTGCTGTTCCAGTTGGTTTGGGATAACCGTCAGTAGGATTTTGCTTGCATTTGATATTAGTGATATTGTTCAATAATTTCATACTCTGTTGGATCACCTTTTTTTAGGAATGGGAATAAATATGGATCTCTTCCAGGTAGTTATCCTTTAGGTATCTTTGTACAAGCTGGTGAGCAATTCCAGGGATGCCTCTGTTTGTTTAAATAGATCAGTTGGTATTCCATCAATTCCTGGGCCGTTATTTTTGCCATGTCCTTCAGAACAGTCTGCACTTCCTCCTTCATCACCATTGCTTCCTGATCATATGTTGTTTCATTAAATTCTTCTATATCAACCAATTCTTTTGGATAAAGTGGCTCTGTACTTCTCCCATCTTCTTTTAATGCTTTCTGGAGCATTTAATAGTCTTCCCATGGCATCCTTAAGTATTGCAACTCAAGGCTTGGTTTTGTTCTTTAGCTCCTTTAACATAAGAAATGTTGAGCAAGTTCAACCCTTTTGATTTTTGTACTCCAGCTCCTTGCATATTTCATTATAATACTTTGTTTTGTCCTCCTGAGCTGTTCTTTGAAAGCTGTTCAGCTCCTTAACTTCTTGATAACTACCTTTTGCTTTTGCTTCTCAGTGCTCTAGCACAATATTCAGAGTTTCATCTGATATCCATTTAGGTCTTTTCTTCTTCTTCTGTCTTTGTAATGACCTTTTGCATTCTTTGTGGATGATGTTCTTTATATCCTTCCCTAGCCTATCTGGTCTTCATTCATTAGTGTTCAAGGCCTCATACCTGTTCATGAGTTGGTTTTTTAATTCAGGGGGGATAGACTCAAGATCAAGTTTCAATTCCTGTAGATTTGATTTAACCTTTACCATTAGTTTGAGCTTGCATATGAATAGTTGATGGTCTGTTCCACAGTCGGCATCTGGCCTAGTTTTCGTTGCTGCTGTTGAACCTCTCTAATGATTGCTTCCACACATATAATTAATTGATCTGATTCCTGTCCATACCATCAGGGGAAATCCCTGTATATACCCTATGTTTATATTTCTTATAAAAGGTATTTGCAATGAATAAATCATTAGTTGTGTACAATTCTGTCATTCTATCCCCAGCCTCATTTCCGTCACCAAGTCGATGTTTTCTGACTACTGCTCCTTTGTCCTGGTTCCCAACTTTTGCGTTTCTGTCATCCATTATTATTAATGCATGTTGGTTGCATGTTCAATTGTTTTCTGACTGCAAAAGTTGATGGAAATCATCTATTTCCTCCCCTTTGGCTCTTGTTGGTGCATAAATTTGAATGATAGTTGTATTAACAGATCTTCTTTGTATGCGTATGGATATTGTCATTCACAATATTGTATTTCAAGATTGATCTAGAAATGGCTTTTTAAACTATGAAAGCAGCCCCATTTTTTCCTCGCCTTTTTATCTCTGGCATAGTAGATCATATGATCATCTGATTCAAATGTTCCATGCCAGTCCATCTCATTTTGCCAATATCTGATATGTCAATATTTATGCATTCCATCTGTTTCTTAGCGATGTCCAGTTTTCTACATTCATGGTTCTCACATTCCACGTTCCAGTCATTAGTTTCTGCTTACAATTGTTCCTCCTTTGTGTTTCCAAATTTGGGTGATTACCCTCAATTGCCCTATCTGTTATTTGAGCACACCCTTAAGTGTGCTCTATTGTATATAAAGTTTTTGAAGCCCTGTTATATTTCGGAAGTGGATGTCTTCCTAGTCTCTCTTAATTTGAATGTTTAGCTTTCAAACAGTATCTGACAGACAAGTATTTTACTGAAAGGAGCAGATGAAAGACATTTCCTCTTACAGAAGTAACCAATACATTCATTGCCGCACCACCAGTATGTGTGTCTTCTCCCTTCCCGTTCCTTGCTACATCAGAATCCCTTACACTCCTGCCTACCCCATTCAGCACCTCCCTCCCCCCAGCCACCCATTGATACGATGACTTAGGCCATGAGTAACTTCTGTGATGGCTTGTGCCTCACAATGCTGCTTGTGTCTTATGCTGATTTCTGTCTAATACCATATGAAAATGTCATTTTCTCCTGCCCTTGTTCCCTTTCTCTCACAGCATTAAGTAAGGGACAGTTTCTGTGTTGCTAAGGGCAGCATAGTTCTTGATACATGGTGAGTGTTTGACATTATTCTACAGACATAAAAGCCAAGATAGTAAAAAGTAGTATAATGCACACTAGGTCTCTGGGTCGTTCACTTGCACTTGTTGTTACATGTTTTCGAGTCACTTACAACTCATACAGTGACCGTATGTACGCCAGTAACCGTATGTATGACAGCCATGAAATCTGCTCTTATCCTGTGCCAGTGTTATTGTCTCTGACACACCTACCCTCATTACCCTGTCACTGAATCATTCCATCTCATCGAGGGTCTTCCTATCCTGTGCTGTCCCTCCACCCTTCCAAGCATGATGTCCCTCTACAAGGACTGGTCCCTCCTTGCAACATGTCCAAAGTATATCAGATGAAGCCTCAAAACCCTTGCCTCCAAGGAACAGCCTAGTTTGACACTCTCCTGGACAAACTCTTTGTACTCCTGGCAGTCCATGGTATATTCATTACTACTCTCCAGCACCACAGCTCAAAGGCATCAATTCTCTTTCTTTCATCCCTAGTCATATTCCAGCATTCTGACGTATAGCAAGTAATGGCAAAGACCATGGTCTGGATCAGCCGCACCTTAGTCTCTAGACTGACATCATTGCTCTTCAGTACTCTGGAATGGTCCCTGTCAGCAGATTTTACCAATGCAAATGTTCTTTTGATTTCCTGGCTGCTTATACCAAGAGTGTTGATTTTGGAACCAAGCAAACTAAGCTGTTAACAATCTCATTCTCTTTACTATTTATCATAAAGCTGCCAATTGGCCCAGTGGTGAGAATCTTTGTTTTCTTGATGTTGAACTTCAACTCATATTGAAGGCTGCAGTCCTTGACCTTCTGCAGCAAGTGCTTCAGGTCCTCCTCAGTTTCAGCAAACAGGGTTATGTCATCTGCATAATGCAGTTTGTTGAGTCTTCCTCCAATCCTAATGTCACATTCCTCCTCATAGAGCCCAGCCTCCTGGATTAACTGCAGCATATAGTATTGGCTACTTCTGAACTGTTCTGCATATAGGTGTAGAGATACGACACATCCCTGTTATACAGCCTTCCTGATTTTGAAACATGCAGTGTTTCCTTGCACTGTTCTGAGTGGGTCAGCTCTACCCAGAAAGACCTGGTAATCTACTTCTTAAAAAAAAATAAAACAAAATCAAACTCAGACCAGAGAACCAGGTGGATAAATTCTACTCTGATAAAGGAAGTATCAAGGGTTTGAAATCCTCTATGCAACAGATTGTCTTCTTCTTGTTTTATTTTTAATAGAGAATGTTATGGGTCAGAACTTAACTTAGTAATCATAAAATTCTAAGCAGGTACAAATGAAATCTAGATAATTTTTATCATCTCTAATGAATTACTAATAAATTTTTTTTTGTCTTTTGCAAAAGGTATTAAAATCATTAGAAATAAATACTACCCTTCTTTACCCTCCCCCTTTGTTTTCACATGAGTGTGTGTCTTGGCTGGTATGTTCACTTTATTCTAAATTCCAAGAAAGAAACAAACCACATTCTACATTCATAATTCTGAGTCTCTTAATACATTTATTGCTTTTTATTAAAGATTATGTTGTTTTATCAACGTTATTCAAAAGATACCTCATTAAAAAATCACTTAATAATTAGTACTGCCTTATATTCTATATCATAAAAAGAGAGAAGAATCTAAGTATTATTAAAATAGATAGTATGTCTAAAACTAAAGGGGGGTGGTTCTGATTTTAGTTGCTTTTTTGCTTTAATATGTTTCTTGTCATAAATTTATATTAAATATAGTTTTCCCTCTTTATTAGGCTACCTTTCCTTTAACTATTTGCTTACATATCTGTGGTTTAAATAAGATCTCATTCTGGAATGTCTGCAGACTTTGTTTTGATGACTAATTAAGGACTGATTTAATTGAGTACTATGTGTAAAATTTATAGACTCAAGAACTAGCTCTATGTTTTGTTTTGTTTTCCATTAATCTGCTATAAGGAAGATGCTTTTATTTGCACAGTCTTTTAGATAAAAACTATAACAATGTAACATTTAATAATTCAAACTCATTGTCATTGAATTACAACTGACTCATAGGTAACCCTCTGTTGGGTTTCTAAAGATATAAATCACATGGGCAAAGGTAGCCCATCTTTCTCCCACAGAACTGCCGGTAGATTTTACCCACCAGTAAGGTGTGGCTTTTGGGTTAACAGTGCTCCTCATTAGGGACTAATCACCAGCCCTTAAATACTCTTAATTAATACAGCCTCAGCCCAGTAGATGCTACCCCATTAGTTGTTTGGTAAATCTTCTTAATTGAAGGTACAATGTATTATAAAAAAGTAGAAAAGTTTCTGTTCTTTGTCTCATATTAAGGCACGCACACTTGCTAATATGCTGAGAGAAGTTGAGAAAAAAAATGAAGAGCTTAGTGTGTTGCTGAAATCACAGCAAGTTGAATCAGAAAGAGCCCAGAGTGATATTGAGCATCTTTTTCAACATAATAGGAAATTAGAGTCTGTGGCTGAAGAACATGAAGTACTGACCAAGTCCTACATGGAACTTCTTCAGAGGTAAATAAAGAAAAGTCTCTGTATAACTTCAGAAATGAGAATGAATCCCCAGCAGTTTTTTTTTTTGTGGTCCTAAAATTTGTTTTTAAGGCTTGTGTACATCAATCACTTTATATATTTGTATAGTAAGCAAGAAACTAATGAAATGAAGTATTGTTTCCTCAAATGTGTCAAAATTTGAATCAGAATGGAGGCCTCTTTCCATTTTATTCTATTTTTTTATTTATTTATGTGGTTTTTGATAAATAAATTCCACAGGAAAATTTTCTCTGTTTTATTCTGTGATAATCCTTAGAGCCTAGTACAGAGCTTACTGTCTAGTTACGTACTCCATAAATACTTGATAAATGAACTGAGTTATAAAATAATCCAAAGAACTCATTCATTATTACAATGTATGTTTAAAGATTGGTTAATATATGTAAAAATGTACCACCACTATAAACTGTTAATGTAATGGTGTACACTTTCATGGGTTTGCAAAGCTCTTGAGTTTAGTTGCCCATCCACAATTAAAAATTAAGCATACAACGGGAGCTCTGGTGGCCTAGTGGCAAGATGCTGCACTGCAATCCCAGAGGTACACAGTTCAAATCCACCAGATGCTCTGCTGAAGAAGGAGGGGGCAATCTCCTCCTGTACCAGTCAGATCTGATTTGATGGTACACGTAAAAATAATACAATAAAAATTAAAAAAAAAAAATTAAGAATACAAAAAATAAATAGCATTAAGAAAATTTATAATAACAAGGTGATTTTGGGAAAGGATGTTTCCCTTTCCCCCCCCCCCCAACAATTTAAGTCTAGTTGTTTGAAAGACACATTATAAGTAATTAGGTTGGAGGAGAACACAGCTATTAATGCACAATAAATAAGTTATTTGTAGAGTCTAGTTAGTAATCCTAAGGGGTACAAATGGCTAATCTGCTCAACTCCTAGCTGAAAGGTTGGTAGTTTGAAATCATAGAGGCGACCTGGCTGCTTACTTGTGGAAGGAACCACAGTAAGTTGAAATTGACTTGGTGGCAACTAAAAGCGTCAAGAAGACCCACTTATGAAGTAAAGTTCAAGCCTTGAAAAACCACGTAGGTGGCAGATGAATGAAACTAGTTAGAGATGATTTGTAATGATAGGCTATCATGAAAATTCAAATTTTTGAAAAACCTGTGTGGCACTTCTACTACCAAAATGTAGGCATTGCCACCAGATTTTTGGTTTTTTACTTTTTTCTTAGTACCTAGTAACAGATAAAAAATATCTTATGCTTAAAGGTTTAAAAGTATCACTTTAGGAAAGAGTTTCTTCTCTGTTATCTTAAGAGAAAATGCAGAGTTTTAATGGGATATTAAGAATTTAGAATCCTGAACTTCTTTATTACTAGGAATCTCAGTGCTTATTGTTACTAAGTGCTGTTGTGTTGACTGAGGCTTATAACAAACCTTTGAACAATGGATCTGAAGTCTGCCCTCTCCTGTTCCTGTGCCATCCTGACCATTAGTGACATACTTGAGCCCACCATTAGAGTCACTGTGTCAGTCTGTCTCTTCAGAGTCTTCCCCGCCTTCTCTGACCCTCCACCTTTCCAAGCAAGATGTCCTTTTCCAAGTACTGGTACCTCCTAACGTCATGCCCTAAGTAGGTGAGGCAGAGTTTCACTATCCTTGCCTCCAAGGATCACCCAAGCTGCACCTTTTTAAGACAAGCATGATAGAAAAAGAATCAGTGCCTTTGAATTATGGTGTTAGAGAGTTGGAGAGTTGGATAATGACTAGGGAGGATATAAGGAGAATTGATGCCTTAGAGCTGTGGTGCTGGAGAAGAGAATTGAATGTACCATGGACTGCTAAGAAAACAAACAGGTTCATCCTAGAGAGGGTTAAACCGGGCTGCTCCTTAGAGGCAAGTATTCTGAGGCCTCATCTAACATAATTTGGACGTTATAAGGAGGGACTTGGGAAAGGGGAGGGACAACACAGGAGGGGAAGGACCTCTATGAGGTGGATTGATTCAGTGACTGGGGTAATCGGGATGGGTGTATTCGAGACAGTGCAACTGGCACAGGACAGAGCAGATTTTAGGGCTGTTGTACATAGGCTCGCTACAAGTTGCAAGTGACTCAACAGCACATAACAACAGCTCAAAGGACAAACAAATATATCTCTGGTACTAGGAATGTTTATTGCTTTGACATTTTTAACTAAACTGTGGTCAAGAAACTGATGCAAATGCCTTCAGATTTTTTTAAGCTGTCTTTATTTACAAAAGTAGTTTTAGTTTCTGTGCTTAAGTGTAATGCTTTCTGTACTTATTTTATAGCAAACCATGTAATACAATCTTATGTCATTGTCACCAACTTGGAACCAACCTTTAGCGGATCCTCCAGCAGGTTTTCAGAGACAATAACTCACATGGGAATGGACTGCCCATTTTTCTCCTATAAAATAATATGATTTGTAAAATAAAGCCCATAAAGATGAGTTTGATACTGCCCATATTTCCATTTCATAGCACCTTTTACCATATCATAATCACCCACTCATGCCATCAAGTCAGTTCTGACCATAATGACTCTTGTTTTGGTTTCTGAGGCTGTAAAATATACTAGGAGGAAATTGTCCATCATTATCCTGCAGAGCAGCCCATGGCTTTGAAGTCCTGGAGACTCAGCATCAGTTCTTTAAAAATATGTGTTTCAGTATATCAAATTTAGAATAGAAATAATGAGCACTGCTTTATTGTAAAAGCAGTGACCACTTGGCATGGGGGAGTAGGGAGGAACACGGATGGGATTGGCTCCTGATGTCCTCTGACTGGTTTATTGTAAAGACATTGACCATATGGCACAGGGGAGTAGGAAAGAACATGGGAGTGTGTTGCTTCTGATGCCACTAATTCCACGAGAGGTCTGACAAAACTGGTTCTTCAGAGATTAGACAGGCTCTTACTGTCACATTCACACACCTTCTGTTTATTCTAATAACAACACTATCTTCCTACGGCTCTCCTTGCTCTACTCCTTGGTCCACTAAGCCTTTACACTGGCCACACAGACCTACACACCATCCTCACAATTATACTTGCTCTAGGTTCTGTTGAGTCAACTACACTCATAATAGTGTTGTGAACAACAGATCGAAACCTTGCTCCATCTTGCACAATCCTCACCATAACTACCATGCTCAAAGCCTATTTCTGTCACCATGTTTGTCCATTTCCTTGAAGATTTTCCTCTTTTGCTGATTCTGCTTTTCCCAGTATAATGTCTTTTTTCCAGACTGAGTCCTTCTGACAAGCCCAAGGTATGAGACAGAGATAGTCACCATCCTTGCCTCTAAGGACGTTGGTTGCATTTGCTCCAGGGTTGTGTTGTTAGGTGCTGTCGAGTATGATGCATAATGACCCTATGAACAAAAGATCTATCCTGCATCATCCTCACACTTCCTGACACACAAGAACCCATTGCAGCAGTCACTGTGTAGCTGAGGGTCCTCCCCTCCTTCACTGACCCTCCACCCTTCCCAGCATCATGTCCCTCTCCAAGGAATAGGACCTCTTAGCAGCATGTCCAAAGTATGTGATATGAAGCCTCATTATTCTTGCCTCCAAAGCGCACTCTGACTACAACTTCTCCAAGACGTACCTGTTTGTTCTTTTGGCTATCCATGGGATATTCAGTGCTCTTCTTCTATACCACAGCTCACAGACATCAATTCTTTTTCTGTCATCCTTATTCATTGTCCAGCTCCCTGATGCATAGCAAGTGATCAGAAAGCCCATGACCTGAATGAGACACAACTTAGTCCTCAAATTGACATCATTACTCCTCAATAATTTGGAGAGGTTCCTAACTACAGATTTTCCCAGTGCAGTGCATCTCATTATTTCCTGACTGCTGATAGGGTGTTAATTGTGGATCCAAGCAAGATGAAACTGTTGACAGTTTCAATCTCCTCTCCATCCATTATGAAACTTCCCATTGGTAGGCATCTTTCCTTTACATTGAGATGCAATTCATACCAAAGGCTGCGTCCTTTATCTTCTTCAACAGGTGCTTCAAGTCCTCCTCACTTTTCAGCAAGCAAGGTTGTATCATCTGCATAAGGCAGGTTATTGACGAGTCTCCTCAAATCCCAATGCCACACTCCTTATAAAGTCCAGCTTCTAGGATAATTTGCTTCAGGATAGATTATTCTTTTGGCAGTCCATGGTATATTTAATACTCTTTGCCAGTACCACACACAATTCAAAGGAATTTATTTTTATTTAAACATCCTTTTTCATTGTCCAACTTTCACATGTATATGAAGCAATTAAAAATACTTTGGCTTGAATCAAGTGCACCTTAGTCTTTAAACTGACATCCTTCGCCTTAACACATTAAATCTTTGACAGCAAATTTGCCAGTGCACTATGGCTTTATTTTTTCTACCATGGGTGTTGATCATGGATCTAAGTAAAATTCACATCAGTCTTTTTTCCATATATCATACTCTTGTGTGTTGGTCCAGTGGTGAGGATTTTTGTCTTCTTGTTACTGAGATATAGTCCATACTGAAGGCATGATTATAGAGGAGTAATAATTCAGGTCAGAAACAGGCTATAGTTCTTCAGTCAGGACAGCTTTTTTGGCATGTTCACAGGCTGGGTGACCTTCATTCTTGAGGCTTTGGGTCACTGTTAGAAAGCTCATTTAGTGCTGCCTGTTAAAACACCTATATCCTATCCTTGCATGAGTAACCCAAAATGAAGGCCCTCAGCTCTGGCTGTGAGCATGGCAATTCTAGTTAAGCACTCTGCTTAGTCTTTGCTCTTGGTCACCTCTGCTGTGATGATAGTCTGGTCGACCTATTCATTTTAAATCTGTTGGGATGGCAAAACTGACCAATCCCTTTGTTAGTAGTCTTTATACCTTATTTGCTTGGTCTCATTCTTAAAAACAATGTATTCAAATTTTGCAAATAAACTGGTAGAAAATTAGAAAAAAAAATGCAGAGATTATCATAAAAAAAAAGAAGAGGTATTTTTATATTTTTTTGTATTGAACCAGTTTTCTATTTTGCCTACTTTCCCCTATTTTAATTGCCATTAAATATAATTTTATCTTAAAAAAGTGTAAACACAAAAATCAAAAAACAAAGTATTAGTTGTTGTTGTTGTTATGTGCCGTCGAGTCGTTTGCGACTCATAGCGACCCTATGTACAACAGCCCAAAACCCTGCTCTATCCTGTGCCAATCACATTGCCTCTGACACACCCATCCCGATTACCCCAGTCACTGAATCAATCCACCTCATAGAGGGTCTTCCCCTCCTGCACTGTCCCTCTACCCTACCAAGCTGATGTCCCTCTCCAAGGACCTGTCTGTCCTTACAACATGTCCAAAGTATGTCAGAAGAAGCCCCAGAATCCTTGCCTCCAAAGAGTAGCCTGGTTTAACCCTCTCTAGGATGAATCTGTTTGTTTTCTTGGCAGTCCATTCAATACTCTTCTCCAGCACCACAGCTCAAAGGCGTCAATTCTCCTTCTGTCCTCCCTAGTCATTGTCCAGCTCTCTGATGCATAACAAGTGATTGCAAAGACCATGGCCTGTATCAGGCTGACCTTAGTCTCCACCTTAATAATTTATTAGCAAATTGTCCAGTCCTTTTGGTGGGGCCACTAACATAGACTTGTATAGTCTTACCCTGCCTTGTGACGAAAGCTGAAACCAGTGACTAGAAAAACTGTATTGAATAATCCCCCATACCACGTCTATAGTTTCTTTTCTCCATCATATTTTACTTTTCCCTCTAGATTTTTATACATCTCTTTATCTTTTCAGGAATGAAACTACAGAGAAGAAAAATAAAGATTTACAGATCACATGTGAATCTCTGAACAAACAAATTGATGCAGTGAAAAAGTTGAATGAATCACTCAAACAACAAAATGAAAAGTAAAGATCTATTCTTTATTGCACTTATTTTGGATTTTTCAGAAACAAAATTCTTTCCTTATAATATACTGGTTTTTTAAATAAAATTATTTGAAGTTAGAATTTAACTTAGATATAAAAATTGCACTAGTAGAATTTCAGGGTAATAACTGTTCCTACTGGACCTTTTATTAAAAATATTTGTTAAGGAGAAATGGCATATATAGTTTGTTGATTTCTAGCTCTACTTTTTTTTTATTACAACTTTAGAACTGTTGCTCAATTAATTGAGAAAGAAGAAGAAAGAAAAGAAGTACAGAACCTGCTAGTGGACAGGGAATGTAAACTAGCAAGTAAGTAGCTTTTATTTTGATAAATTTTGTGTTTTAAAGCAAATCTTCTGTTGAAAGAAGAGTACAAATGAACTTTATTTTGATTTTCAGTATGTTCTTGTTCTCTTATTTTTTTTTTTAAATCCGTAAACTACATCCTAAACAGTTGTCTTTATCTTGTTACAGCATTGCTCAGTTTAGCTAAAGTGGACAAATTGAAAACTAGGGATTATAGGAACTTATTACCCCTTATAAATGAAAAAAATTGTTCAAAAATCCTAACAGTAGGTGGCAGTACAAGGTAACTTTTAGTTAATAGCTTCTTCATTTTGGCAGTTGTGCAATAATTTACAAAAATATTTTACTTTCAGCCTACCTTTAATCACAGGCTCTTCCTTATGTCATTTTTCTTCATTTTCTCTCTCCCTTTGTCTACTCTACATTCTAAGGTTGTTCTTTCTACTGTATGTTGTATTTGGAACAGAGGAAAAGGATAGGACACAGAGATTTTGTTTTGTTTCTATTTCCAGCAAGAAATTTTGTGCTGTTGCTAGTTCTCTTCCTTTATCTCTTAAACTACTAAACCTTTTCAGAGTAATGCCAATAAGACCTCTGAGACATAGCCACCTGTTTGTTTACTTTTTTAAAAGACTTGCAGCAAAAGGCAATGGTGCAAGAGGAAAAGATTAAAACATTACTAAAAGAAAAAGAAGATAAAGAAGAAAGCATTGACATGCTTAGAAAAGAATTAAGCAAAACAGAACAAGTAAGGAAAGAGTTAAGCATTAAGGTAAGACTCTGTTCAAGTTCTCCTTTGCTTTATAGTAAAAATTTCTTAAAGATGAATTTGGATGAACTAATACTGTTTCTTTAGTAATCTTGTTTAAAAGAGAATTAGGACCTGAAAGTGATTTGACTAATTTTTTAACGAATACTCACAGTGTGAAAACCTGTGATTCTTGGAATCATCCAACTTAATATATTAAATGCAGACTGTGTGCCAGAGCTTCAGGTGACAAAGAATACAGAAAAGGGCTCTGGCACCCAGTTCTTGGTGTCACGTTCCGGTAGCTGTATAAAGTGTCTAGCCTCCCTATCTCTGCGTAATGCTCTATCAACTCATTGCTGTCAAGTCAGAACCAACTCATAGCTGACCTTCCAGTGTGTTTTGGGGAGGCTATAAATCTCACAAGAGGAGAGTGTCCATCTTTTTACCCTCAGAGTAGCTGGTGAAACCAACCAACCAGAGAAACACCACCTTTTGCTTAGCAGCACAACTCCTGCTGTCTGCTTAGAAGGATGCTGATAATAACAACTCAAACTTATTTAGAACTTTATGATTTGCAAGGACTCCTGTGCTACCAGTTAGGTTTAAGTCACGTGTTCAAGTTTCACGCAGCCAGTAAATGACAAAGTAGATTTAAATATTCTGAACCCAAATCCAGGGCTCTCTCTCTGTGATCACAGTTATGTAGCTTGAGTATTAGCTGGCAATGGTGCTTTGTGATCCTTGTAGTATTACGAAGAGCAATGAGTGTAACTGTGTCAGAGATGGTGAGGATGGCGCAGGAGAAGGGCGGCTTTCAGATCTTTTGTTCATAGGGTCTCTGTGAGTTCTGTTTGACTTGAGCACATAACAACATTACCAGGAGGATGAGCCCAGAAGAAAATTAAAAGGCTTTCTCAACTACTGCAGAACGTGAATGAAAGAAAAGGCATAAAATTCATATTCACAGATTTCCTAGTCTTGCTTTAATATTGTTATTTTCATAGTTCTAAGAATATAGAATCATATACTGTGTATAATTGTTATTGTTATGTGCCATCAAATTGAGTATGATAGTGACTCTATGAACAAAAGATCTGAGCACTGCTCTATCCTGCACCATCCACAGACTTTTTGTCATGCAAGAGCCCATTGTGGCAGACACCTTGTCAGTCTACTTGGTTGAGGGTCTTCCTCTCCTTCCCCCAGCGTCACCCTTCCTAGCTAGCATCATGTTCCTCTCCAAGGAATAACCCCTCCTCGCAACATGCCCAAAGTATGTGAGGCAAAGCCTCATTATTCTTGCCTCCAAAGAGCAGTCCAGCTATACCTTCTCCAAGACATATCTTTTCTCTTGGCCATCATGGGATGTTCAGTGCTCTTCTCCAACTCCACAGCTCAAAGGTGTCAATTCTTCTATCATCCCTATTTATTGTCCAGCTCTCAGATGTATAGCAAGTGATTGGAAAGACTGTGGCCTGACTCAGACACACCTTAGTTCTCAAACTGACGTCATTACTCTTCAATAATTTGGAGAGACCCCGAACTGCAAATTTTCCCAGTGCAATGCATCTCCTTATTTCCTAACTGCTGGTACCAAGTGTTAATTGTGAATCCAAGCAAGATGAAGCTGTTGACAGTTCCAATCTCTTCACCATCCATCATGGCACTGCCTATTAGTCCAGTGTAAGAATCTTTGTTTTCTTGACATTGAGATGCTATCTATACCAATTGCTGTATTCCTTGATCTTCTGCAACAAGTGCTTCAAGTCCTCCTCACTTTGGGCAAGCAAGGTTGTGTCATCTGCATAATGCAGAATATTGATAAGTCTCCCTCCAATCCTGACACCACACTTCTCGTCAAAGAGTCTAGCTTCTTGGATAATTTGCTCAGCATACAGATTCTTTCTTATTTTATATACTATGTAGGCATATATTTATATACAGGGAGCCCTGATGACCGTTAAATAGTGCTGAAGCTATTTGCTGGTAGGCCACCAGAGCTCCCTAACTGAGAGGCAGGCAATTCAAAATCACCGGTTGTTCCATGGAGGAAACACAAGGACTCTGCTTCTCTGTGATTTACTGCCTCTGAGGACCTGCCAGAAGATCAGCTGTGAGTTGGTTCAGACATTTTGTTATGGTACATTGCAAAGACAGCAGTATTTTCAGCATCATTTCAGCTGCTACATTGACTTAAACAGGTAGGTTCAAAACGTCTTCCTAATTTGTGTGAAAATGTTTAATGATTGCTTATCTTGAATTTTTCATATAATTAAGTTGACTGAAATACCCATATTTATAATATGCCTTTTTAACATGATTTGTCTTACAAATAAAAAATAAAGATATCTTAATATCTTTGTGAAGATAGAACTTGCTAATTGGTTTCTCCTTCTTTTCCCTTAATCCCCCGTAGGCTTCTTCCCTGGAAGTTCAGAAGGCCCAATTAACAGGTCGTTTGGAAGAGAAAGAATCGCTGGTGAAACTTCAGCAGGAGGAATTGAATAAACATGCTCACATGATAGCTATGATCCACAGTTTAAGTGGTGGAAAAATAAGTCCAGAAACTGTGAATCTCAGTCTGTAAACAGTGTGACATTTTGGAATTTGTAATCTAATGATATTTTTCATGTATTTACTATGGAATGAGTGAGTTAATGTGTGACTACAGAACACAGAAAATTATTACCTGGTGATTAATTTAGTAAAGATCCTGATCTGATACATGTTTTTATTTGGTTTTTTGAATAGAGAAGTTAAAGCTTTACTCCCTATTTCTGGCTTTCATTGCTTAACACTTTCTTGGTTCTTTATTAGAATATTATCATGTCATCATGCTTTCTAAGGTTGGTTTTTCCCCTTCATTAGTTGTGTTCCACTCTCATTCTCATTTGTGACTACTGTGATTTTGAAGTCATACTTTCAAGATATAACAGCCCTAAGGATGAATAAATTAAAAATACAATTAAAAAGAGAAAAGATATAATGCAACTGAAATTGTTCCTTTAAAGTAGCACTAAAAGTTCTTTTTATTACAGCATTTAAAATGTATGCCCTTAAGTTTAAAGTTGAAAATAAAATTTTATTGAATAGTTTTCAGAATTTATGTAAAAAAAAAGATTAAAAATAACTAATGTATTGTGTCACATATAGAACTGTGTTATAATTTGTGGAATTCTGGTATCTTCAGTTTTTTAAATATTCTTTTCTAAATAGTATGTGTTAACCTACTATATCACCTCCCATCAATTATATTTTTTATTATTTCTATATGAAAGAAAACATTCTACTCTTAATAATAAAGCATAAATAATAATAAATTCTACTCTTAATACATATTTTTAAGACTTAAAGTTTTAATTCTGAGGTGAAATTCACTTAGTATGTCATAATTGGACCATTTTATTTTAATGACTAGATTGAATATCTTTATTCTTTAAATATCTTTTTTAAAATTTTATTTTCTTATTTTCTTTGTGTGTGCCATCAAATCGAATCTGACTGGTACAGGAAGTGATTGTTCCTCCTTCTCCAGAAGAGCATCTTGTGGATTCAAACCATGTGCCTCTAGGGATTGCAGTGCAGCTCCTTGCCACTAGGCCACCAGAGCTCCTGGAAGTATCTTTATTGTATTAAAGAAATACATGTATTTCTTTAGTATAAGAGATTTTTTCCCCCATTATTTTCATTTGCATCAAATGATACAGGTGTGTTTAGGAAAACTATCAATATTTGCATTATCACACTATTACATTTCTTCATTTTTTAATTTCCTATTTCTCTACTTGATTTTAATGAATTACAAATATACTTCTCAAATTTTCATCCATAGTATATCTGAATTTATTTTTAGAAATTAAATAAACATGTATTTTAGAATTTACCAAAAAATAGCAAGTTATAACCTCACTCAATCATTGCTCTTGAGTTGGAGGAGTGTACTTATAACTGGCCCTGCATTGGGTTTCTGAGGCTGTAAATCTAATGAGAGGAGATTGCCCGTCTTCCTCCTGGGAAGCCTCTGGTGCATACAGTTCTCCAGAGATGCCAGCCTTTCGGTTAACAGCATGACTCCCCATGAACTGTGCCTTTAGAGCTCTAACTTTGTACAGTTGTTTTAAAGCATTGTACAAAGTAAAGCATGTTTAAATTGTTACTGGCTCGAAATAGGCCCATTCTGTTTTCTCTTGGGATAACATACATTCTTTTCATTTAATATTAAAAATATTTAAATGGATAAGTATGGCTGAAAAATTAAAGTAGGTGTCTAGCTAGTCAAGACTTCTTGCTTCAGTTCTATAAAATAAGTAGATGAATTAATTAACCCAGCACCCTAGAGGATATAATAGATTTTTATCAAGACACTAAGCCCATTCCATTGCTACCCAGTAGAACCTTGTACAGTGATGGACATTTTCTCTATCATTTGTATCAACCATAGATATAGTCGCCTGTGCCTAATGAATGCTTTACATGTGGCCAACATAACTGAAGAATTGAATATTTTATTAATATAAGTACCACTTTAAAGACTCAGTCTACTAGTCAGTATAGAGCTAAAATGATCTTGCATGTATACTTTTATTTAAAGCACTGTATATCTAAAAGACTCCAAAAGACAGAGATGCCATGTATTTTATAAAACCTTGTGTTTTAATACAGTTTTAACCTGTTTATTCTAAATCCCTTCTCCTTAAAGACGACATGTTATACTCAAGTTTTGAAAGTAAATATTATCACTTTTATACTTTATATCTTTTGTAGCATCTTTTGTACTATTAATAATCCTGGTGTAAATAATGAATACTAATTTTGCCTTTTGGTTCTATGTATCTAATGTTAAAAATTAAAACAAATGTTTGCAAGGCTGTATGTGTGTGCACCAGTTAGTTATTTTAAGCAGCTTTGAGTCACCACTGTAGCTAGGATTTTAGAAGTGACCTCTGTGTTTATGTATGTGGTGTGTGTGCTTGTGTTTGTGTAGGTAGAAAGGAAATGCATCAGTTTAATGTGGCTCTAATTTTCTCAACAGTTGTACTAGGAATAATTTTTTTCTCTATACATTAGCCTGGTTCCTTTTAGCTTTTATACTTGCCACTTAAACAAATATTACCTCTTAGAATTTGACTGATTAAAGTGTAGACTTTATTTTTTGACAGGGCAAAGGAAATACTCATTAAAACTTACTGTTGTATCTTAAGAAGAAATTATTAATTTAATGCCCTTTTTATTCTATTTTGTCATAAAGACTTTTTTATTGTGTAATAATAGATTCTTTTGATAATTAAGTGGACATGTTTTGGGGGTTCAGTTTTTTAATGATGTTTATGAGTGTTACAGGTACCTTTAATCCATGTTCGTTCTCAGAAGTCGATTCTTGCTTTTCCACCTTTTAGATATATGTAGACTGCATTGCCAGTTTTGCTTTCAACATGCAAACTTTAGGCCAAGACATGTGTCCTGTGTGTGACTTAATTTCTTTTTATGACAAAAGACCTCTCTATCACAGCTACTTGTATCAGCCCTGTTACACAGAAATAGCCATAAATGGTATGTAAATAAATGAATTGTCTAGGTTCAAATTTCTTTTTTTTTAAGAAAAAAACAAGTAAAAAAGCCAAATCAAACTTTTGCTATTGGGCATATGTGTATTTATAAATGTTACATCTTACTGATTTGTTCTTATTAAGAAAATGTGTCTTTAATAATAGTCTTTCTCTTGAGATTTTAAACATGAATAACGTTTTTGTTGACAAGGTATATCTTTTTCTGTTTATTTACATATGAAATATATTTTTACATATAAAGTACATGTTTTATTGACAACATACAGTTGGGTCTTTTTTATTTATCTTGACATTCTACGTCCTTAACTTTTCATAATGTACTTATTCTGGCATCTGTCATTTACTGTAAAATATAGAAACCTTATGACCATATAAGGCCATTTCTCCTCTTTTATAATTTCAGTTTATCTGTATACATTTCAGTCCAGTTGCTGAGCTGATTTCAGCTTATAGTGACTCAATGTATATTAGAATAAAACAGCACCGTCAGAGTTTTCAAAGGCAGATTTTTAAAAGTAATTAAGTCCTTTTCCAAAAGCACCCAGTAGATTCAGAATTCCAATCTCAGTTAACAGCTGAGTGTGTTAACCAGTTTGAACATCAGAGACTCCTAATTCATCGTGTTTGGATCCACAGTCAACACCCTTGGACCAGTAGTCAAGAGATTTGGAAACATATGGCATTGTGGAAGTCTGCTGGATGGGACCTCTCCAAAGTTCAGAAGAGTGATGATACCAGTTTAAAGACTAAGATGCATCTGATTCAATCCACTGTCTTTCCAGTCACTTGCTATGCATTGGAGAGCTAGACAGTAAGAATGACAGAAGAAGGATCAATACATTTGAGTTGAGCTGGAGAAGAATGCTGGGTATCCTGTCGACTGCCAAAAGAACAGATATGTCTTTGGAAAAAGTGCAACCACTGTGCTTCTTGGAGGAAAGGATGGGAAAGCTTCATCTCACATACTTTGGGCACATTGTTAGGAGAGGTTAGTCCATGGAAAGCAACATCATGCTTAGATGGGTAGAGGGTCAGCAGAGGAGACAAAGACCCTCAAAGAGATGAATCGATACAGAGGCTATGGACTCAACTGTGTCAAGGATGATAAGGATGGCACAGGATAGGAGAGAATTCAGCTCTGTTCATAGGGTTACTGTGAGTTGTATTTGACTCAACAGCACTTAACAACAATGCCCAAAAAGAGTTGGTTTTTTTTTTCTTTTAAATGATAACTATGAAACAAACTTGGAATAACTTGGAATCAAAACTCCATTTTTTTTATGCTCTAATATTCACAGAGTAATTTTTATTGTAAGATTACTATTTTGCCTCTGAAATTAAGTAATTTTCACAAAACTGCAAATGACCTTTTTTCTTTCTAATTTGTTTCCATTAGTTTTAGTATCCATTGGTAATTTGTGCTTGAATCAATATTCTAGTGGATTCCACACAATTGTTTTTTAATAAGGAATTACACATTTTTGTAATGTTATGATAATGCTGGGAATAGCAGTCTACATTGCATCATTTATTACATGTCATTAACAAAGTGAAAATGTATGCACAGTCCCATATATCTGCTCCCGTGTGATTTATTGCCTCTGGAACCTGATGGAAGGTCAGCTTTAGGTTGGGTCTGACTTGACAGCAAAATACAGTACATCCTGTCTCTTTTTGTATGTATTTTCATAAGCCAAGAATGTTAGCTTGGTCTTCCATGGTGTAAGAGTAAATATTAGGTATACTGAGTATTTTCTCAAACTACCAGGGTCCTTTGGAAAGTAAGCTCTTTTCCCAAACTCCCTGGGCACCTTGGTGACATAACAAGGAGTACCCTGTCAACCCAGAGTACAGTTAAATCTTTCAGTTTTGCTGCGTGAGAAAGATAGGCAGTTTCACCATGTGAGTTACCACCTCTCAAAACCCACTAGAGGGTCAGCTATGAGTCACTTCCTCCTATTCAATAGTACATAATGACAACACCCAAACTCCCCAAATTAGAATCAGTCATTTAGATCATAAGATTCTAATACAGGTAATCCTGCCTTATGACTAGTTAGAATGAGCCTGGGGTTTAAACTGGAGATTTTTCTAGACATCGTTAGTAATATGTGCTGCAGGCCTATTTTCACAAAGAGGTTCAGTTAATACCTT